AACTACAAGAGTACATAGATTGTATTTCCTGTAATTAACACAATATTAACTACAAGAGTACATAGATTGTATTTCCTGTAATTAACACAATATTAACTACAAGAGTACATAGATTGTATTTCCTGTAGTTAACACAATATTAACTACAAGAGTATCCAGATTGTATTTCCTGTAGTTAACACAGTATTAACAATAAAACAAACTTAATATAAGCTGTAAAATGGTTTTTATATAAAACATAGATTCTATCAGGTAAAATGTTGACCTTTGGTCAGCTGACCTTGCTAGCACAGTCAAATCCTATTCCCATCGCTGCCAAAAACCGTCGAACGATGTCAGCATCGCAAACCTTCATGGCTGGAAAAAACAAAAGTTGGTGTTCTAAACCATTATTTTACAAAACATTACTCATATCTAGCGAACACCTGAAGTGTACTCTTATAGACCCCCAGAGAAGTGACGAGGGAGGATTAGCGTCGGAATCTGACCACCTATGCCTTCCTCGTGCGTTGGACGAGTACGTTAGTATATTTATACGTTATAAATATACGTTAGTATAAATCATGAAGCTTTAACAATATGATTAAAGCTTCAATTTATCTTAACTACTTAACAATATGATTATTAATCATAGTGTTAAAGCTTCAATTTATCTTAAACTACTTATTAAGTAGTTAAGATAAATTGAAGCTTTAACAATATGATTATTAAGTAGTTAAGATAAATTGAAGCTTTAACAATATGATTATTAAGTAGTTAAGATAAATTAATGTTGTTTTTCCCTTGCACATTAAGATATGTTTTTTATTTCTTTAGATTATTAAAAACTTCAAATCAAAAGTTTAGATCAGAAACTGAAGAACAGTTTATATGAACATAACAACCGACTGGAACTATATAATGTCGTAAAACAATATATAACTAAAGCTTATAAAAGTTAGAATGTATTAAATCATGTGCTCGGCATACTCTGTAGTTACTGGTATTTTCGGCCGTAAACCCAATAAGTCATGGAAAATACTATAGTTCACCAGAGAAAGAATAGAAAATCTACAATTATTATCACCTTCACGTGATCTCTGTCGACCTTGATGCACTTCTGCACGTATTTTCGCCATTTGCAAGACACATTAATAAGTGTACACTTTGGATCAGTATAGATGTGGATATAATGCCCACAGCCTAAATCCTACCAAGACAGCCAAATCAATAGTTTGATAAGTTTCATGATGCGTTTTGTTAGAAGAAGCAAGTGTTTATAACAGTATTAACTTTCATCTGCAGGAAGAAAAAGTCCTCCAGTACAGTGTTTCCCAATCGCTAGTCCACAGGGAGGTTTCAGACGGTCCGCAAGACAGTTGGTAAAGAAATGTATGTTTTAAAATATAGCTTCTGATAAGGTTAGTATTGTAAAAACTGTTCATGAAATAATGGGATCAGAACTAGCTGGAAAAAAAAGATGGTAACCACTGATCCAGTATGTCCAGGTATACCAGTTACACAGATGACGTTACTCCTTTGGTTTACACACATCATTTGACCTTAAAGTTATTATATCACCTTAATTACATGGTTCTACTTGTGGTACTGATAGAATTTGTTTGTTTGTTTCTGAATTTTGCCCATAGCTACTTAAAGGCTATTTGTACTAGCTGTCCCTAATTTACCAATGATAGACTAGAAAGGCAGCTAACCAATACCATGCACCGTCAATTCTTGAGTTACTTTTTACCTACAAATAATGGGATTGAACATCACATTATAATGCCCCCACGGCTGAAATGGTGAGCATGTCCCTGTAATGTAAAAGTGGGTACGTTAAACAATGAGTGAGAAAACTAATCCCCGTTTTTTTTGTAACTGGAATAAACGGCATCATAAATATAAAAGAGGGGTGGCAAGACACCAGATAAGGAAACAAGGGTGCTAGAGTGGTCACAAGATACTGACGAAGAAGCAAGGGTGTCCCTTTGGTTAAAAGACACTGATGACGAAGCAAGGGTGTCCCTTTGGTTAAAAGACACTGATGACGAAGCAAGGGTGTCCCTTTGGTTAAAAGACACTGGTGAAGAAGGAAGGGTGTCAGTCTGGTTAAAAGACACTGATGACGAAGCAAGGGTGTCAGTGTGGTTAAAAGACACTGGTGAAGAAGGAAGGGTGTCAGTCTGGTTAAAAGACACTGATGAAGAAGGAAGGGTGTCACTATGGTTAAAAGACACTGATGAAGAAGGAAGGGTGTCACTATGGTTAAAAGACACTGATGAAGAAGGAAGGGTGTCAGCCTGGTCACAAGAGATTGTGATGGGGTATATATTTCAAACAGGTCACTACAGACAGTAATGATGAAGCGAAGATATAAGACGGGTCACATCAGACGGTTATGAAGAAGTGTTTGAAATATCGCTACTGGATCTGAAGATGATATTTAATACAACAATGCCTCATCAAGTAGAAGATGTTTGAAACAGAAAATCGTAAACAGGAATTTGTGTCATAACAGAAAGATTTTTTTTTTCAATTCAAACTTCTCTTTTAAAAAAATGTATGCATACTTAACCTGATTTTGAATAGCTACTTCCTAAATGTTTTTTTTTATATCTCGTCCTAATTTTTATTCTTCCCAGTATAGTTATACTTGTTTACTGTTTTAATTATCACTGTTTTAATTTTGTTTTTTTAGATTGGTTGAAGTTGTAATTTTTCTGCCCTCCTACCTTGATATTTAACTTCGAATGAAAAGCAGTTGCGACACCTGGAGGTAACTGTTTTTTAGATTAAAAGAAAAGCGAAGTGTCACAAATCCATAATAAAAAATAATGCTAATCGGGGGAGTAAACGAGTATTAATTAACTGATGATTAATTAATGTTTTACTTCAAGTCTATGACAAAAAATTACTGCAAGTTTGTAATCAAACTATCAAATGAGTTTACTATATTGTAAATCAGTATAAAATATCACTTCAAAGTCGACACAAATTTGCTGCACTCACCAAAAAATGGCTGAACATCTGGAAGTAGGTGGCGCCATAGAGCAAGCCGTGATGCTATTTCATTCAACTCAGCAACGAAAAAAGGATCATCCAGATTCTGGTAAATAGAGCATGATTTATACAATATAATATTACAGATAAACCAAAGTTTCTGATGAATATTTTAACTGAATAAACGACAATATTTAACTTTTCTTGATAACCCAGATTTAGGCAAATTATCAGTTTGAAACAGTACTTTTAAGAGTTTTTTGTCAGGTGATAATGCTCTGAATTTATACTCACCCCTATGTTGTTGAACCTTACTTATTCTAATTTTCTCGATACAACAAAATGTATTCAATTTCTTTAGAAGAACGCCAACAGAGATTCGAGCCACGATCGTTGAAATATTTATAAAAGTAAATCCTGCCTCATCAATTACTAACTTTCTTATTAATATATTGTGTAAAATGAATAACAAAGATAATTTTTTTTTCGTAATAAGTTATGTTTTCTGTACCCAGGGGTGAAATTCTGCCGGTACACTCCGGTACTGAGTACCGAAACTTATTTTTTGAAGGCAGCACTGGTACCGGAACTTATTTTTTAAGGCAGTACTGGTACCAAGACTTATTTTTAAGGCATTATTGGTACCGAGACTTATTTTTAAGGCAGTACTAGTACCGAGACTTATTTTTTAAGGCAGTACTAGTACCGAAACTTATTTTTTAAGGCAGTACTAGTATCGAGACTTATTTTTTAAGGCAGTACTAGTATCGAGACTTATTTTTTAAGGCAGTACTAGTACCGAAACTTATTTTTGAAGGCAGTACTAGTATCGAGACTTATTTTTTAAGGCAGTACTAGTACCGAGACTTATTTTTTAAGGCAGTACTAATACCGAGACTTATTTTTAAGGCAGTACTGGTACCGAGACTTATTTTTTAAAGCAGTACTAGTACCGATACTTATTTTTTAAGGCAGTACTAGTACCGAAACTTATTTTTTAAGGCAGTACTAGTACCGAGACTTATTTTTTAAGGCAGTACTAATACCGAGAATTTATTTTTAAGGCAGTACTAGTACCGAGACTTATTTTTTAAAGGCAGTACTAGTACCGAGACTTATTTTTTAAAGGCAGTACTAGTACCGAGACTTATTTTTAAGGCAGTCTCAGTACCGAGACTTATTTTCTAAGGCAGTACTAGTACCGAGACTTATTCTAACTGCTTTGTCGTTTTTTATGTTTACACGAAGATCTATTTGTCAGAAACAGGTCCATTTCACCAAGCTGAGTATCTTTACTCTTCTTTTTTTTCTTTTTTTTTTTGAGAATTTCACCCCTGCCTGTACCTGGTACAACATGTAATTTCTATGTACTTCCGGTTTCGTAGAAATAACCGAAAACTGTTTGGAAACGTCATCGGGCAACATTGCAACAACTTTCAGCTTTCTATTATTTTTTTTTTTTTTTTTTTGTCAGTTTCGAGCTATTCACGTTAGACGATTGGATTTATTTAATCACGCTACGATTTTAAAACATTTACTAAGACTGAAACTTTGACAAAAAATTGGTTGGAGATTTATTGTACCCAACAAAACAGTGATTCAAAGTATCATTATATTTAATAGGGAAATACCGTGTAAGATCATTTATAACAAAATTTAAATCCATACTAACAGAACTATAACAAATGTATTTGAATACTGGTTTTGGACATGTCACGTGCCCTCCTCAGTCCAATGTTTGTTTTCCTATTGTTGTATAGCTAATAGAATTTTGTCATGAAATAAACTGGTAGTCAGCCAAGCTAATACATAAAATTACAAATTATGCCAAACGATGAATTTACAAGAGTTCTGAGTCATCCAAGCTAATATTTCTAAAGATAACACATATAACCTTAAAGATCTATAGTGTTAAAGATAACATACATATCCTTAAGTCTCTCCAGTGTTAAAGATAACATACATATCCTTAAGTCTCTCCAGTGTTAAAGATAACAGATATAGCCTTAAATATCTATAGTGTTAAAGATAACATACATATCCTTAAGTCTCTCCAGTGTTAAAGATAACACATATAACCTTAAATATCTATAGTGTTAAAGATAACATACATATCCTTAAGTCTCTCCAGTGTTAAAGATAACACATATAACCTTAAATATCTATAGTGTTAAAGATAACATACATATCCTTAAGTCTCTCCAGTGTTAAAGATAACACATATAACCTTAAATATCTATAGTGTTAAAGATAACATACATATCCTTAAGTCTCTCCAGTGTTAAAGATAACAGATATAGCCTTAAATATCTATATTGTTACGCCTCCAGTCGTTCGTTAATTTTCCGTAAATTCGTTCCGACGAAACTTTAGCGACACAAGTCCTTTCTTAAATAAAACTGGTTTATTCTTTCCGAATACACTTCATTTCAACAGTCGCTCTATAACAAACACTATAACTCACGTCTCACGTGGCCAACTATATTTTGTCCGCATACATTCAATTACTCATTCACTTTCTCCCGTTACGTTGTGAACGTCTTATATATACAAGACTAACACATAATCTAGTAAACGCTAGGGCATTCTTGAAGGAACAAGATATTTCTAGAAACAGGTGGCGTGATACTAGTCACGTGACGTCGCTGACGCAACAATATTGTTAAAGATAACAGTTATAGCCTTAAGTCTCTGCATTGTAATGAACACATAGACCAGTTTTGGAGTGTATAAAGTTAGAATAAAGAAAGTTAATTATGCTGTTGCGTCATCCAGGTCATGTGACTGGTGTGGCGCCCTCTAGTTTCTAGAACTGTCTTGTTCCTTCATGAATGCTCTAGTATTTACTAGATAGGGTAGGCTGGTATATAAAAGGAGGGTGACAACGTGACGGGATTATAATGTAATGCGTGTGAGTAGATAGTGAGTAATTGAACTGCAGTCACAGGGTATTGTTGAAGTTAACGTTCGTTCGTTAAGAAAGTTAATTATGCCCTATTAATGCTATTAATTTCATCATCTATACTGACTCCATCTCAGTAAACATCTCAGTAAAGGTTTCTTTTAGATTATTTAAGGTAGGGATAAACAAAATTAATATAATCCGTATGTATTACCTTAATTTTATAATTGACAAGATTCCACTCAGAACAATCACGTTTAAATAATTATTTTAAAAGCACAAATCAAATATTAATTCAGGAGAAACTAATCACGACTATTCAGTACTTACTTCATCCCGAGTGAGTTTAATGGCCAGTTCATTCATGCTCGTGTCCAAATAAATTTCCTCCAAAGCAGATTTGGTAGAATTGGGTTTAATATTAACTTCACTCATCCTGGATCTAGAGGTAGTGAAAAAACCTACAAGTCTCTGGGTCCACTTTTCACGATCTACCAGAAGGAACCAACTTGATTAAAAACCTGTTTCTGTAGTAATTCAGTGAAAGTATGTCAGTAAGCAATATTTGACACGCAAAAGTTGACCTTTGATCAGGATCTTTCATCAATACCCCGATAAACTTGTAAGCCAATACCATGGGTCACATCAGTCAGTAGGCATTCCCAGGGTTAACAGTGGATGCCCCAAAAAAATGTTTTCCCACACGTATAATTAGTTTTATCGTAGTTCGACGGTTTGAAGAATTTTCGCCATTTCACTTCTACGATACGCCATCTTTCCTGGTTATTAACGCATTCAACTGAGCACAAATAAACAATCGTTGCTACTGATGAAATTTAATACAACATAAAAACGCCAAGAAAAAAAAACAACACACACACACGCTTAAATACAACCTTTAAATAGCAAATTAAATCAATACAACATGACCGCTAGGTGTTGCTGTAAAGATTGGTTTCTTTTGAATTTCGTACGAAGATAATTGGGGGTTATCTGTGCTAGCCGTCCCTTATTTAGAAGTCATAGACTAAAAGGAAGGCAGGTAGTCAACACCACCCACCGCCAACGACTTATGCTATTGACCGTCACGTTATAACTCTCCCACAGTTGAGAGAGTGAGCATGTTCGTCGATGGGTTTCAATCCCGCGACCTGCAGATTGATTTTGATATTTTTAATATAACCAAGAAATCTAGATGTACTTCTGTTCTCGTACTTGGAGGATATCATGATCCTCCAAGTACGAGTTGGAGTATTATCGTTGAGTGAGATGATATCATGATCATCTCACTCAAC